GTGTATTTGTGGGTTAAACACAACAGCCAGTTTTGCACAGCACAAACAGCCATGGAGTGAATGACCAATTATTTTATTTGGGGGATTGTGGCCAGGACACCAGGAGAAACTCTCTTTTCTTTTCCAATAAATATAAATGCAGGTGGTTGTCGTGCAGTGCATTGCACTGCTGAGGGAGTGCTGCAATGTTAGCGGTGCCATCCTTTAGATGATTTTTCTGGTGGATGTTCAAAGATCCTGTGACCCTATTCAAAGAGGAGATAGTTTCTTCCAGTGTCATGGCCAACAACCCTTGCATTTGCATTCATGTTGTCGAGCCATTTCAAAGTGCTTAATCTTTCAATCGTATATCGCTCAACCGTATATCCCTCCGCAATCCCCAGCACTTCTTATTATGGCATAAAATGGTTACAGTTCATCTTAGCAGTTGAGTGAACTGCAAAGCAAAACATGGCTTCCACGAATCCGGAGGAGGCCTTAACAGCACGACGAGGGGGGAAGGGAGATGGTACCACAGTGAAAACGATAGTGTGCTCGCATGTTGTGATGGCTTCCACTGCACAGAGCAAACCTCAGGCACCTGGTGACATTTGGTGTGAAATCAGATAAGATAACTAGCACTTCGGTCAGAGCGTGGGATTGGGCGCTGCACACCAGAATGCTGCTGAGGCTTTCTTTTATCCTCCAGACTTGAGCGAGTGAGCTTTCAGCTTCAGTGCCAGACTCGGGGGTGGCTTTCTTTTTTTTTTAAAAATGTAAATAAAAAAAATCACTTGTACCAAAACGAACTTTCAAATGTGTCACCATTGGTGCGCAAGAGGAAACTCAAGTAACTTTGGCTGCTTGACAAAAGTTTGCAAGGCTGGTGGGGGGGATGGGCGGGTGGCGAGTGTGGGGAAGGTAGGGAGAGAAAGGGGAAGAGCACAGAACATGTTGTTTAATGGCAGAGCTGAGTGTTGGGCATCCTGAAGGCAATTGAAACAAAAGAGCTTGTTTTTCTGACTGAATGGAATGAGCAATCCACGCAGTCTGGTCTGAAAGTTCACCGTGCAGTTTGTGGTTTTCAGAAGTAATGCCGGCTCAGTTAATGCCTGTCTTGCAGTTTTTGTTTAGGTCTTGATAGTTTTCGCTGTTCAAGTCCACGCAGTTCACTGGCTCAGGTGGGCAGCCGAGCGAGCCTGCTTGTCAGGCTTACTCAGAAGGTCTTTGTTTTTCAGATCCTTGTCAGATTAAACCTTTGGGCCACTTTCACAAAAGGTTCCCCAAACCTTGGCTCTTGCAAACCTGTGTTTAATACAGTCTGGAATTAGGTAGGCAGGCCATGTCCCTCCAGGGAGAGAGAGTTTAGTGTATTTTTCTTATTAATGGAGTAAAGTACAGGACCATAAAACATATTGAGTAGTAAACATAGGGAACAGGCTCCCTAAGGAGACAGTGGAAGCAGAAAATGTTGTTTGTTTCAAGAACAACTTAGATAGATTTCTGCCAGAAAATAATATCTCGGGATACAGTATATAGTTTGGGACACGACATGTCAAGTGACTGCCAGTGGAAGTGATGGTGGAAGACGAACTAGATTGTTCTTGGTCTTCTTTCGCCTAGCAAATTCTTATGATCCTAATTGTGATCTGTGTGTGTGTGCGCACGCGCTTGTATATATCTGTGTGTGTGTGTGTGTATGAGGGCAACTTTGTGTGCATATGTTTTGCCTACAAAATAGAAAGTTGCAAAACAAAATCAGTAAATCACTGTGAATCCTGTGAAACGTTTTAAAAGGTCTTGCGATAAGGGGCAATACCAAAGGGTTATTGTAACTATTATGTGTGTATGTCTGCACGCTTTTTGTGTCTGCAAGTGTAAAATCAGGAGCAAACTAATCAGATGTTAAAATGCGAAACAAGGGCGTATATCTGTCTACTTGTGTGTGAGAGGAACAGCAAGGCTGGGGGGGAAATACAACCCCCCCTGTGAGCTATTTTGTTGTCAGTATTTCCAGATAACTTGCGTTGAGTTGTGACAAATCCTTTCTCCTCACAACATAAAAACACAGATGGGACCAAAAGTTCTTTTCTACCCTCCGTTTCCATTCCCCCCCCACCAAAGAAGTACTCACCCCACCCACCCCAAGCCAGCGTATTGCTAATTAAATTGGGTCCTGAGTAAAGGAATGTATCTGGCTGTGCGTGTCATGTTAGGTCGTCTTGTTAACTTTTGGGTGTTTTTTGCACTAAACAGGCTGGGAGAAAGTCTGAGGTGAGGTCCTCTCACACAGCTGTTCCCAGGCCATCCATCCGCTGTAAAACATGGCTGTGATGATGGGTGGGGGTTGGGGGTGAGAGGCGCAACAAAGCACTGAGCCGAGCTCAGCAAAGGTACAAAGAGAATACTCTTCCTTCTATCCCTGCATAAGTAAAGCATTCTGGGATGCTACCCTGCGTGAGGGGTGCTATATAAGTGCAAGTTGTTGTTGTTTGTAGGATTCAAACAAGCCATGGTTCCTTGTTCTACCGATAACTTGCACTTACATAGCTCCTTCCACATAATAATAATTGTTGCATTTGATATAGCACTTTATTATGTAATTGAGACATCTCAAAGGGCTTCACAGAATTATTGTAGAGTGGATTGATTTGTGTATTTTGTTGGCAAAACACTGGAGCCAATTGTACTAGTTAATTAAACACCTCAAAACACGTTACTGAGGTGTAGCGGGAGCGTGAACAGGATGGGAGGTAGCAGGGGAAAGAGGGGGATGAGTGAAGGCAGAGATAAGAGGGACATTTTTAAAAAGGGTTTTGACAGCAGAGAGGTTTTTAGAGAGCAGAGGACAGGTGACTGAAGGCTTGGCTTGCCCACTGCTTAACGTTGCAGGGGGCATGAAGCAGGCCAGCCACGTGTTTGGCAGAGCGGAGGGAATTGGGGCATGGGAGGGGGGAGGTGCTGGAGCTTGAAGCCATTTGACAGTTTCTCTGATGGGAGGGGGGAAGGTTAATTGAGCCTGGATGAGCGAGGCTGGGTGGACGATGGGGGTGATGGGCTTGCGGAGTCTGGTATGGGAACAATTGTTCAGCACCTTGGGACGCCCTTCCGGCATGAAAGGCGCTTTATAAATGTAGTTTTGTTTTTATTGCATTGTGTGTTTTTTTCATGTACGCTTTTCCGCAATTCTATGTGGGTTATAAATACATTTAAATAAGTAAACAAACAAACCACCTCAAACTGAAAGGAGCCGAAAGAAGAAAGGAAAAGGGGTAGTTGCAGTTTGGCTGCTGCCCCTCTCGCTGTAAGAGTGGTCAGGTCAGTTTCTGTCTGCCTGTGCTGTGTGCCACCCAGAGCACTGACTCCACTGACTCCCCATCCCCCAGAGGATTGAGTTCAGGATCCTCGTCCTTTTAAATCCCTCCCTGGTCTTGCCTCACTCTGTGGCCTCCTAGAGCCTAACCAACCTGCCCGCTCCCTTTGCTTGGCAGTCGCTGGTCTGCTTCATGTCCCCTGCTCTGCCCTCCCCAATATTGACAGTCAGACTTTCTATCCACTCTCTACTCTGTGGAACTCCATCCTTCACCTCGCCCCTCCCATCGCCTCCTTCAAGGTCCGTCTCAAGATCTTCCTTTTGTCCGTGCCTTCGTTCATTTTTCCTTCCACCCCCGCTCTTGGCCCCATCCATCCAGCACTGCAATGAAGTGCCAGCTTAGTTTGTGAGTTTAAAGTCTTGATGTTGGCTTCTATTCACAACCTTTTGCTTGCAACCGGCTGATACCTGGCTCTGCATGAAAAGCTATAGCCATTGTGTGAAATACAAGGTTTTTTATTGTTTAGAAATGATTGGGATCTAAAATGCGATGTTCCTCATGGGGTTTAAGTGTGAAATGCGGGATTTCTAACTGGATACTTTGAAGCACAAGGAGCAGATTTGAAGTAGATTTGGAGTTGTAGTTCATTGGGGTTAAAGGGTAGGGAGAAAAAGCGGGGGAGTTGGAATAGGATTTGAAAGCTCCTAGTGGGACGCTGAGACCGGCTCAGACACGATGATCTGAATGGCCTACCCTTTGCGTACAGTAAGCTCTCCTTGATTCTACAATTGCGTATTGGATGCAATTTATGGAAATCTGGTTTAGAAAGATGATTTCCTTCTGACTTGAGTTTGCTGAAGAGCTCAGGTATGACCTGTTAAGTCGTCTTTGGTATCGCTTTTGGTCACTAAATTGGTCGTGTTCTTCACATGATTAAGGTTAGGGAGGGGAAAACCAGTCAGGGTTCCTGCTCCTGGTCCCTCCATAGCATCATTGAGTCCTGTATCTCAGTGCTTAGAGCACTTGCCTCGCAAGCGAGAGACCTGGGTTTGATTCCCGAGCAGGAGGAAACGGGCAAGTTTCCTTACTCCACACTCCTCTGTTTACCTAGCAGTAAGTAGGAACCCGGTTGTTAGTCGATTGGCGGATTGCTTTTCCGGGCGTAATAATTCCTTCAAAAAAAATTGGTCACTCAATCCAGGACTGTTTGGAGCTATATCAAATGCAAGGATTATTATTATTATTATTATTATTATTATCACATCTACTGATGAATCACATAGTCTAAGCAGACATTCCACTCAGTGCTACATTGCTGGCGGTGCTGTGCTTCAATTGAGATGTTAATTGAGGTCCCATCTATGGGGGAAACGTGGGAGCACAGCAATGTCCCATAAACAGCTGAGGAGTGAGTGACCAATTTTTCTTAGGGGATTGTTGACCCGGACACTGGTAGAAACTCCCTTCTCTTTTTGAATAGTGTTATGGGATCTTTTAACGTCCACCAGACCAAGCACAGACAGGGAGCTCGGTTTAACCTCTCATCCGAACGATGGGAATGAATGTTGGTTATGGTGGTGATGGTTATGAGGGTTGGGTATTTATGGTGCTTCAAAAAAAGCAGGACAGTGGTGAACGAGTAGCAGAGCCTCTTTAGCAGTTTGTTCTGTGTGGGCCAAACTGATGGCACGTCTGCTCTGGTTACAGAAGGGCAAAGCTGCGGCTGTATCTTGAACAGCTGAAGGAGCTGGTTCCCCTCGGCCCGGACTGCACCAGACACACCACGCTGAGCCTGCTGAAAAGGGCCAGGAGTCACATCAAGGTAAGACAGCAGATCAGGGTTTAAAATGAGGAAAGGCAGGCGGTGAAGGGGGAGAGACGTGGTGTGGGAGAGAGAGAGAGACAAAAGGAAGGATGAGGGAGAAGGGTCAGGAATGTGTGTGGGAGTTCCAATGGAATTCCCCATTGACTTAACAGGAAAATATACATCACTGGGGAAACCCAGGCAGTGTTGTGTAACTGGAAGTGCTCTGGGTGGCTCACAGCACTGCCAGACGGGAAGTGACCTGACCACTCTTACAGCGAGAGGAGCAGCAATGGTCCTGGCCACGTACACGAGTCCCCTGTTGACCAGAGCGGTTTAGCTCCCGTGCTCCATCCAATGATGCTGCCCAGTGCGAGGAACAATGTGAATGAACAAGGCCTCCTTTCCAACCCGGTTCTGCACCTTGTGAATGTTGTCAGGTTAAGGTTGTGGGAGTTGCTCTGATCAGCAGAATGTTTGCAGACCAGACGCTGTCGTTTGAGAACATGAGAGTCTTTGCTGGACCCGTAAATGTTGATTGGGGGGAGGGGGTGGCCGAGATTCCCTCAAAAAGTTACTAACAGCTGTAACAATAACAACAACAAAATTACATTTGTATAGCGCCTTTCATGTCGGGAGGATGTCCCAAGGCGCTGGTCAGTCAGTTACAGATCCAAGCTGAGGGTCAAGGGCGGGAGGGCAGGGAGATTCAAAACACGGTCGAAGAGGAAGGTCTTGAGGTGGGTCTTGAAAGTGGTGAGGGAGGGGGCGAGATGGAGGGTCTGCGGAATAGAGTTCCAGAGGGTGGGCGCAGAGTGGCAGAAGGCCCGCCCGCCGATAGTGGGGCGAGCAAGGCAGGGGATGTGAAGCAGACTGGAGTCCACTGAGTGGAGGGTGGTAGGGGGTTAGGAGGTCGGTGAGGTAGGGGGGAGCAAGACGGTGGAGGGCTTTGAAGGCGAGGACCAGGAACTTGAACTGTATCCTCTGTGTAATGGGAAGCCAGTGGAGTCGGGCGAGGATGGGGATGAAGGGTCACAGAGTCTGGTGCGGGAGAGGACATGGGCTGCAGAGTTCTGGATGATCTGCAGCCTGTGGAGGGAGGAGTTGGGGAGGCCGACAAGTAGTGAGTTTGCAAAGTCGAGCCTCGAGTAATGAAGGAGTGTATGAGGGTTTCGGCGGCCTGCGGTGTGGGACAGTGTCGGAGCCGGGCGACGTTGCGGAGGTGGGGGAAGGCAGAGCAGGTCAACAGGTTAGTTGAGGATCAAACAATACCCCAAGTTTCCGGAGTGGCTTAGCATGATGGAGTGTGCAGCCATGGAGGGGGATGCTGTCAGCGCCTGAGGTGTGGAGGCCCTGACGGGAGCCAATCAGGAGAGCCTCGGTCTTGTTGAGGTTCAACTGAAGAAAGTTAGCTCTCATCCAGGACTTGATGTCTGACAAGACATTCTGTCAGGACAGCAGTGGTCCTGGAGTCCAGAGTGGAGGCAGAGAGGTAGAGTTGGGTGTCATCCGCATACATGTGGAAGTTGACCCCATGTCTGCGGGTGATGTCACCGAGAGGGAGCATATAGATGTTGAAGAGGAGGGGACCAAGGACAGAGCCCTGAGGAACGCCACACGAGATGGTCCAGGGGCTGGAGGAGAAGCCGTTTGAGGAGATGAAGTGCAGGCAGTGTGAGAGGTACAATCTGAACCAATCAAGGACAGCCAGTAAAGAAAGTGCCTGGGAACCTTTAAAGAACCTGGGATACCTTGGGGAAATTGTCCAGAAATAGTTGCCGAGTCCAAAACTAGAGGGTGCAAATATAAGATTACCAGCAGCAGATCTAACAGGGAAGTTAGGAGGAGCTTATTCACACACAGGTTGGTGAGGATGTGTGTGGTTGAAGCCAAAAGGGTCAATGTATTTTGGAGAGAATATGATGCATACATTAGGGATAACACCAACAACAATACATTTGTATAGTGCCTTTCACGTCGAGGACTTCCCAACGCGCTGGACAATCAGTGTTTCGGACCTCAGATGCGAGTCGGGATTGGGGGGGGTGGGGGGTAAGAGGGTGACCAAACGCATGGTCGAAGAGGAGAGCCTTAAGACGGATCTTGAGGGAGACAAGGGAAGGGACGAGGCGGAGGGACTGCAGGATGGAGTTTCGGAGGGTGTGGGCAGCGTGGCAGAAGGCCTGCCTGCCAAGAGGAGAATAGAAAGTTCGTGTGGAGATTAAGCATCAGTACGGACGGTTTGGGCTAAATGGCCTCTTTCCCTGTCCTGTCGCTCTGTGTGACTTTCGTGTAATAATTTCACGATTCCCGTTGGTGAGGTGTTCTCAGAGTTCCGGAGCGCTTGCCTTCAACCGTGACGTTGTCTCTTTGTGACCGGCACAGAAGTTGGAGGAGCAGGACAAGCGGGCTCTGCACCAGAAGGAGCAGCTGCAGAGGGAACGCCGGTACCTGCGGAGGCGGCTGGAGCAGCTCTCTGTGCAGGGAGTGGAGCGTCTCCGCACCGACAGTCTAGGCTCCACCATCTCCACCGATCGGTCTGACTCCGAGCAAGGTACCGGCCATCAAACCCCAGTGTTACACTTACACATCCAGCTGACTCCCAGTCCTTCACAGAGGAGAGTGAGAGCCCCAGCTGGGGGAAGGTAACCAAAGGTGGGGAGGGAGGGGTTGAGTCAGACAGACTCTGGGATGGAGTTGCAGAGAGTGAGTTGATCACTGCTGAGTGGAGGGAGTGATCAGAGCGTTAGGGTGGGGATGAACTTGGACCTGATTCCCTGGGGGGTCGGGGGGTGGTCTGTGGGGCTAGTGCAGAAGAGGACAAGGCTCACTTCAGCTGTCTGCAAAGAGGGCAAGTTGGTCAAGATGACCATATGAGGAATTTCAGAGCTGGGGCTTGGTTTTCAGAGAGTGTTCCCTCACACAAGATCAGCTGCTTTAGGTGGGAATATGTCCCTTAGATCCAACAACTCTGCATTTATACAGCGCCTGTCACACAGGGCAACATCCCAGAGCACTTGATACTGATTTCACCATGAAGGGGGTGGTGATGGTTTCTTCTGATCTCCAGCTCTATTGATGTTCTGTGCTTGTCTTCCCTCACCTACCTCTCACGTTTGCAGAAGCTGACGTGGACATTGAGGGGATGGAGTTTGTGCCGGGCGAGCTGGACAGTGTGGGCAGCGGGAGCGACGCTGACGACCACTTCAGTTTCCGCAGCAGCTCGAGCGACAGCGGCTACGCTGATTCCCGCACCATCACACCGCGACTCTCATAGCACCCGCCCACAGCCTCCTCCTCCGAACCTACACCAGACCAGGACCACCCCACAACCGAGGGCACTTAAAAAAATAAAAGAAAAGAGGAAAAAGAAGAAAGTGGGAAAAAAAAGGAAAAGAAAACATCCGGTCTCTCTCTCTCTCTCGATGTTAAAAAAAAACTGCCACTCTTCCTGGGACGCTCCCTCCACGAGTAGCTCTTGCCTCGCCCAAGGCCCCTCTCGCACATCTTTGCAGCCTCCTCTTCACCCCCCCCACCCTGGATCAGCCCGACACCGACTGACGCCTCTGATCGGGATTGCAAAGGATGGTGTGATTGGTGCTCTGCGATTTTAAAAAGAAGAATGAAGAGGAAAAAAAAAGCCAGCTCTAATGATTAGCCATACATGTAGCGTATTGATTGTTTCTATTTCACTCTTTTGTTTCTCTGTCCTTTTGCCCCCCCCCACACGCCCACGCATGGTTGCGTTCTCTCCTACTGTGGCGATTTCTGACATGAAGTTATGACTGGTGCCAAACCACCGCCCCCCCCCCCCCCCCCAAATACTCCCATGCTGTTTCGGCACGGAGGGGTTGGGCCGAGTGACCTGTGTGGTTGTGTTTGGGCAGGAGTGAGATTGTCTCCCCTCAGCTAATCTATTTGCAAGGCAGATCACTCCACCCGCTCATGAGGGGCTGGTGGGGGAGTGGGAAGTGTTTCTTTTTTTTCCCTCTCCCTGTTGTTTATCAAAACGTTTGCATTATATATATACATACATATATATTTTTCTTTTAATTTAGAGCATTTTAAGTAAAAGAACAGTATTGTAATTCAGGCTAAGTGGACAGTATGTATGTTTTTGTTGTCTCCTTGTAATCTACAGGAGTTGGTAAGTGTTATACAGGATAGTCTTAACCACAGGAAAAAAACGCTCCCACGGTGTGCGGCAAAAAAAACATGGCTTACGCTTTAATCGCCGATTATACACCCAAATACATGGCAGTTTTGATATATGTAGTTTGAACTGCTTATATCGGCTTATATTGAAATAATAGCAATATGGAATACATTTTTTCACGATCAGCTTGGGTTTAGTCATTAGAGCATGGCTTACTATTACTATTACAATGGACCAGTCTTTTCATTACATTCTCAAGAAAGGTCTCTTTGAAAGGAAAACACACGCAAAAAAAAAAGTACAAAAAAGGTTAGTCAAGTAATTTTAGCCAGTGTAGTCTAAATTTCCTGTATCAAATTTTGTATTATATTTTCCTAAATGTTATCTAAAAACCATGCTTGTTGGGGTTGGGGGTGGGTGGGGAGGGAGGGAGGGAGGGAGGGAGGGAAAGATGATACAAGACCCAGACTGGAGTCTCAGGGACTCACACTTTGCCATTGTCATATTGTGCCTTGGTCACCATTTACTCGAAGCTCTTATCATCCTCCCAATCGCTGGCATGTACGTCCTTCCCTTGCCCGTACAACTCGAGTGGATAATGAGACTAATCTCATGGCAGCTCTCGCTCGTCCTTGTTTTGCACTCTTGCCTTCTTGCTTGGAACTTGCCAGTGAGGCGGGCGACACAACTGCGGGTCACGTGACCCGGACCCTTCAGCCTCCCCAATCTTGTGGTGGGGGACAGGTCGAGGGTCAGACTATGGCAGCTGAATAAGAGAACCTTTTAACAATAACAAGTCCTTTTGTGTATTCGCAAGTTCCAGCAACGGCTAATATAGAAGTTTAAAAAAACACACAAAGTTAAAACTCTCCTTGCGGGGAAAATAGCACAGCAATATTTCAAAATGGTGTTTGGTTGTTGGACAGCAGAGATGTTTCGGTAGTGTGTGTGTGTGTGTGTGTATGTTTGTGTGTTTTGTTGCTACAAGCAAGCATTCATTTCCAAATCATGGAAGCAATATTTTTCTTTGATTATCATCAACACACGTACGTGACTGTTAAAATAGGATCAAATATATTTAAAGAAAAGAGAAATGTTTGCAGTTCAATTCTTGGTGAAAAACACTAAGATTAAAAAAAAATAGTGATGCTGTTTACTGAAAGTGAAACTCTTGCACAGACCTCCTGTTTATAACCAAACACGAATGTGGGGGGTGGGGGGGAACGGGGAAGGGGAGAGCAGAGTGGCTCTCTCGCCCACACTAAGTGTGCAGATGCATAACTCCCAAACATTAATGTTGGTATGTTTTTTAAAAAAATGTAAATAAATTGATTAGCCCCTTTCACATGGCATTTTTCTGGCACAAATGTTCAAGATTAATACAGTCAGACCTGTTCAAGCAACTACCTCCATTCAACAATCACCCCCTGTTAACAATCACCCATGGAACAGCCCGGTTCACACACCAACGAGCCCAGACTCAGATGCCACTTTGGCCCAGTCCCCCTGAGAGGTGGTTGAAAGCAGGTTTTACTGTATTTTAATAGGCGTTTTACAAAGAAAATTGCAGCTGAATGTGTTTTCAGCGGTGACCCTGGGATTGCTGGTGCAAACGCTGTATTCGACTGTATCATGTTGCATGATCTCTAGCTCAAGCATTTGAGGGCTTCCTATGACCGAATGAAGGTTTGAACCTTTAAGGATAAAGCTTTTAATGCTTCTGGCTCCCTCTTTTAATCGACTAGGACTAGTCAGGAGCTCGTGGGACCAGGCGGGCCTGGGCAACGTTAATTTGTCCAGTATGACAAATGCTGGTGTCGGGTTTTATTGGGGCAGAAGGAGAGAGAGGTGGCCTAGTTGCCCACCCTCTTACCCCTCCCCTCCTCCCAATCCTCTTCACTCACCTTGTTACATGAACATGGAGGCAGACGGGAAACCCAGGCCTCTGTGCCATTCCCGATCTGGCTGCTGTAGTGTCTTGGGAATGTGACTTAATTCTCCGATGTATCGTAAATGTTTCCTCTCTAAACCTGAAGGTTTTAGTGGTGGGTAGAAACTTGTCCTGTTGAAATTTGTGAATTGCAGCCTGTGTACATGGTGTTAGTACACTAATCGTTAGATACCCGGTCAGACCCTTCTCATTATAATCCTCACTGAGGAGGAGGCCAGTCAGCCCATTGTGCCTGTTTCGTGCCAGTTCCTGCACCTCTTTAATTTCATTCCTCTGCTATCTGGCCTTCTGGAGTGTCTTTAACCATAGTGGATTTTGCCTGTTGCTGGCACCTAAATTATGATGGTCGGATTGAGCAATGCGCATTAAACAGTGCCTCCTCGCCCTCCTGGCTAGGTCACACTTGATGTGCACACTGGGCATTGCAGTGGCCTCCACTTGGACCGCTTTTGGTTACACGCACAACAGTCCAGAGCACCCGCCCATGTGACCCGTCATATCTTGAGTGTACGTTAGATCTACTTTTGATACAAGTGTCCTGGGCCTTGCTGGAGACGGGGTCGGATTTGCATCAGACTTGGGACAGTTTAATATCACGGTGAGTGTTGCATAGGAACCGGTACTGACCGACTACAGAGTCAAGCCTGTCATTTAAGTGAGTCTTGGTGGCGGCAGATCAGATCAATAGGGATAACAAATGTGGGATGAAAATCACAGTATAATGGTGTCAATACATTGCTGGAGTTTGAGCACTGCCACTGATACTCGCAGATTCTCAGACCAGGCAAAGTGGCCTGAGTTTGTGCACCACCCCATTCCAAGGTGCTGACATTATTTTATTCCTTGCACCCTTTTCCTACCAAATTCCCGATGCCGCACTGAAGCTCCCCATTGGGTGCTGGACAATATCGTCCTTGGACACGACTCCCTCTGATGATCAGGCCTGACCCAAGACCGAGTGCAAACATTGCCTGAGTATTTCTTCAGCCGTTAAATACCACTTGTGAGGGAGACGTGTAAACCTCAAACTATTATCACTCAGGAGTTATTAGTCTCTTTTCACCCTTCCAATACCTTCCCCACCTATCCCCAGAACTTTTGGAAGAAATTCCAAAATTAACCAGCTAAACATAGACTTGCCTCGGAACTTCCATAAGAAACCCACTTACCTAACCCTCACCTGCAGATGCCTACTGTTGCATTAGATCTCAGAAACCCAAACTGGAGGGTTCATGTGACAAAATCTATAGCACTTAGAAGAGTTAACGTCAAATCCCCACAGCCATCAGACTAGGGTAAATCTAGACTAGCAAGTGCGTTACCAATTGATTTAGTCTAAATTGGGTGTCCGACGTGGCGACTGCAATGGAAAAAATCATGTGGAAGTGATGTGCTTATGTTTTAATTCCCCTCGATAATAGGAGTTTTTTTTTTAGCAGCTGAGTAAAATATTTTGGGAGAAAAAAAATGTACGTTTTATATTTTGAAGAAGGTCCCCTACAGACCAAAACTGTTTTCACATATTGTACGTTTGATTTACCGCAATGCTTTTCTTTTTGCTTTGGATGTTTCTGGTTTATTGTTTATGAAGAATAATATCGGCCTACTCTGATAACAGCCCATTGGTAATTACTAGGCCTTTCAAGAAGGTGGAACATTGCTGCAGTGTTAATTTGTACGCTCCTTGCTAACTTTGCTTCTGATTTTCTTTTTAAAAAAAATGTTTGAAATGTCACCCACCAAGTATTAGCAGGCAATTCAGTTCTGAATTGGAATCCATAGATTCCCTTGATTTTTTAAAATTTCCAATCTTCCCTCAAAAAAAATAGCATTCAAATTGCGAGGTGTCACCAAGCGAGTTGAGAGTAGAAGCTGAGGCAACTCCCAACTTCTGTTGAGCAGATTCCTTTTCTCTGATGCGAAGCTGTGGACATACAACAGTGGGCTTTGTGAATGGCTTGAGGTACACTGGATGGGTTCTGTGCCAGAGACCTGTGAATATGTATTGTTAAGGAGCTTTTTTCAGTATAAGAATGCTTTATAGCTCCTAAGATGTATAATATAAGTTCACACATACGTGGTGCTGGCTACTATTTGTAGCACGCTGAAGGTAATGTGTTGTATCATTCTTTCATTGTAATATAATAAAACATTTTTTTACATCATTTGATTTGTGCTCGTGTTTCGTGATTATTTAACTCGCCCACGTTTGAATCAACTCTCTCAATGACTAATCAGTCTGTCCTGGAATGTCAGCCTAGACTATATGCG